ACAAAAAAGGTTGGATAGTTGACATTGCAATTCCTGGAGACAGCAGAATAGAAGAGAAAGAACTGGAGAAAAATCACAAAATACAAAGACCTGCAAATAGAAGTAGAATGACTGTGGCAAAAGAAAGCAAATACCAATAGTAATAAGTGCCTTGGGTGCAATCCCAAAACTTCTGGAGCACCACTTGAACACCATCAGCATTGACAAAATTACCATCAGTCAATTGCAAAAGGCAGCTTTACTTGGAACAACTTACATCCTGCGATGATAACTTTAACACCATCAAACAACAACGTCTGCCTATCCCAGGTCCTTGGGAAGGACTCAACAGGTGGACAAAAATGCCAAATCCAGCATAAACATCTGGCTGACTGTGCAACCAACCATAATAATAATAACAATTTGTATTCAGTTTTATATTGTGAGCTGCCCAGAGTCTCTCTAGAGTTGGGCAGTGCCAAAATAAAATCAATTAAATAGCATTATTTTTGTTCTCAATAAGCTTGTCCTCACCAGCTGTTTATGCTGAAAATCTGCTTAATTCTTAAACAAGAATAATAATTAGGGAAGACTCCTGATTTTAGCCCACTCCAAACAAGCAAATTTTTCTAATCATTTTTCTAATTTTTTTCTTCCTGTGCAGAAAAAGCATCATGGGATGTGATGTGTCTTTTGCTATATGGCTACATAGTAGGAAATATAAATTAATAGTATTAATTTGTAATGTGTGCATGTGCTGAAATGTATTCATACGCATTAATCACATGTATCAACATACATGCTTGGCCAGTTACATTTCAACCTTACCAGGTCTCACATAAAACCTCTTTTCTCATCTCTGTTGCCTGGTAGCAACTGCTTGTGGTTTCACAAAGCAGGCCACCTTAGTACCTTAACAGTACAGTATGGCAGAGGTACCTTATTCAGTCAGTTCATCATGACAGCCTGAAATGTCTCATTGTATCTTTCCATGTTAAAACTGATCATTGAAGGATTATCTCCTCTTTAGTAAGACGTGTCTTCAGAGCCATTTATCTAGAAACATCTGCCAGTCCTTTCAGCAGGATCAGATTCCAATGTCTGAAGAAGTGAGCTGTGAACTAGTATTCTTGGAGAAGCTTTCTGTTTGACAGTTATAGCCAGTAAATAGATTTTGGAGCAACAGGAAGAATTTCTCCTTGCATATCTATGAAGTACATTTACTGTCCTTCAGCACCTACACCCAGCTGAAAGAAATATAATGCTGTTGGCAGCCAAGCGTCAGCATGCCAGCCCATTGGCTGCGTTCAGAGTTTGTTTGACTCTGAGTGCCCACCCAAATTCTGATGTCAGTGGGCATTTAGCAAAGTAGAAAGAGTCACAATTAGCAAATTGGTTATTTCTTGAAAAGTAGCCACTTTGGTAGGTCCCCCTTCAATGAGTTCAGTGTTTTCTTGATGGTAGACAGGACTAGGAGGTAATGCACAAGTTCTTTTACCGTGCTGTCTTCAAGAATTTGTGGCTGAGCTTCAGGAAGTATCAGTAACAGTAGCAGCTGGTATCACAGCTGGGAGACAGGAAGATGCCAATGTGGCTACATCAAAAGACTACTGAATATCAAACAAAAATCATACAGGAAGTGGAATGAGAGTTAGATTACCAGAGAATATGCGTACAAGGATTCTGGATTTGTAGAGTGCGAGGGAAGCTAAAACTCAGACTGAGTTAAGAGTGAAGAATTCTGAGAACAATAAAATGGGTTCTGATATGTTCAAAATAAAGGAAGGGAAAAAGAAACAGTAAGAAAGGGAACAGAGTAACAGATAACCAAGGAGACATTGACATATTGAGTGATATGCTATAAGATTTAAATTTAAGCCTAGAACTCTTCAATATTTCCTTTAATGGTTTGGATAAAGCAATAATAAAAAATAATAAAATTTGGGAGGAAATAAAATTGCAAGAGAAGTAAATGTTCTACTAACTTTTTTGCGAAGCTAAAGATAGAAATATCACAAAAAATTAATGTGCAAAGGCTTTTGTGGAAACATGATTATACACTTTTTTTAAAAAAAAAAATCTTGCAGTCACAGAATCAGCACTCCAAAAAGCATTCAAATGCTATGGTTGTAGTAGTAGAAATTGCTGGGAATCCTAATAGGCATGATGCAGGTGGTCTGCAGTGGTTGCTAGTTCCTCTTCCTAAATGTTGTGTTAGGGATGAGGTCTACCATAATTTTGTGGGGAAAAAGATAATTGCTGCTGTAGAGTTGCACAATACAGCACGTCCACTTTTAGTTTAGGTGTCCGAAAGGAGAATAATTGTGTCTCTCCCTCCCAATTATAGAGCTTTCTCCCCAAATTTTCATATACAAATAATAATTTATACTAATCTATATAATTTACTTCAGAGGGAGCTTTCATCAGATTTAAGACAATTCATAAATGTGCTGGAATTAAATAAATACTTCAGTCTTACCTGCTGCAGCTTCAATATTATTACCAGTAGTATAATCAAACAGAAGCAAAAGATATACTGCTTTTAAGATAAATCATTCATTTTTCATGGATGAAAGTGCTGAATGGAGTTGAAGATAGTTGCTACCATATTGGTGTAAAATCTTGGCTAGTTTCATATATCACAATGAAAATTCTTGTTAGCAAAGGTGTGCTTTGTAAGTCATAATAACAGTAATCAAATCAAATATTTATTATGGTCATTGACCAGCATAGATAATAACAGTAATAAAAGTTTGGGTTCCTAAACTGTAATAAAATAGATTAAAACATAATTATTGAAAGTGGTAGATCTATTTCTTGTGCAGCCCTAACCCCAATGAAATAATTATTTTTATTCAAAGGATGAGTTACCCAACTGATTTCTTATTTTAAGAGAGTTGCAGTACCACAGAGAATTGCTGCTCTAAGGTCTACTATATAAAATCCATTTTAATTTGTGAATTATCAGATCAGTAGAATTAAACAGCTCTTAAAAGCATCTTCTGGCATGCCGCATCCAGAAGCAGACTAATATAGCTTAGGTGTGACTCTTACTTCAAAACTCAGGGTTTTCTTCTATTCTATGTGATGTGGGTATACAGAAAACTCAGCATATAAATTTAATAATAAATTAATTAAATAAAAACTGCTGCTTTTTCCCTTTCTGTAAATAAAGATGGGCCTTTTCTGTAGTGATTCAGTACTTCCAAATGTTTCATTTTTAAATAATGCAAGTAGATTTCAAGGTATTGAACTAGTGTAAATAGCAAACTGTGTCAGAATCTATTAGATCAAATTAAATGGCTTGCCACTTATTTTCTACTTTTCCCACCCCCTTTGGTCGAGCTATTCAAGCAATGATAATTTGAATTGGTGAGGAAGAACTGTCTAATAACCTGATTAGATTCAGCTGGAACTCTTCTGAGAGCTGCCTACGTGGGTCCTTCCAAGTCATCCCTTTGGCCTGGTCTATCTGTTGGCTTTCTTCTGAAACAGCAGCAGCAGGAGCCTCTGTAAGATTGTTACTCAGAATGGTCAACAATTAACTCTTGGTTTCAAAGGTATTTCACCTTAGATTGGAATGAAAGATTAGAGGGATCTGGAGATAGAATGAAGGATAGATACCAGGCTGAAATCAGGCAGATTTAGAGTATAGCCTGGCAGTTAACAACTATGACGTAATCAGGATGGAACCTAGTATTAGGTGTAATGAGTTATTTGGTGTTAACAGGCCAAACATCTTTTTTCTGTCTAGCTTTGAATTTGCTGTCTCACATCCCATTTGTGACTATATTTGCAAATCTGGCCAGAGCAGCAAGATAATGGCTTTGAGCCTCTTTAGGTGGCTTCTTACATGAAGCTGATGATATTGAGTGGAACCATTAGCATCTCTTTTTTAAAAAAATTTTTATTAAGTATATCTCATTTTTGAGCATCAAGAATCCTATGAAATGGCTTGCAAGCAGTATAAAATATAACGGAACTGTTAATACCTAGGATCTCTTAGCTTTGTAAGTTTGGTAGAAGGAAGTTGAAGACAGATGAAATTCTGAAGATAATAGAACAGAATTACATATTCTGGTCTTAGACTCTCCATTTAAAATGCTGAAGAAAGCTAGGAATAATAGATTCAGATGTTCAGTCTCATTTTCAGCCTTCAGATGTTCAGTCTCATTTTCTGAGCTCTTGCTAACTCTCACTTACTGCTGCTTCTGAGTTTGAGACTTCTGGAAACCGAAGGCTTGTTTGGGTCGAGACAAGCTTCTCTCTTATTTCAAATGTTAATCCTTGGTGTAGAGGATCAGTGCTCTGCTACAGTGAATAAATGCTATTGCAAGTAATCAAAAGCCTTTGTGAGGAATAAAGCAATGAATGAGGACTGTGTCTTTATTACTCTAAAATAGACATTTTCAACTTCTTTCTCAATTTTTTTAATCTGTATTCCAGTATAGTGTGACTTTTTAAATAATCTCTTATTTTGTTTGTCTTTAAGCTGATTGGACATGGAAACTTTCCTTAGCAAAACATGAAGAATATTAACAATGCATAGAAAAAGCAAGAGCTCTTGGGGTTAATGTCTACTTAATTTCATCTAGTTCATCTATTTAACAGTCATCTAGTTTTCTTACCCGCAGTATGGAAGTGGTATTCCATTGCCTTTTTCTGGGATGATTTTCCAGTTTACCAGTCTATTCTTCAGCTCTGATATTCCCTGGTAGTCTCCCATCCGAGTACTAACCAGGCTTAGCCCGGACTGGTTTTCTGAGTCCAAACAAGGTTTTCAAATTGCTGCCACCTGCTGGTGGGCTCTAAATAGAAATCTTTTTACCGTATGCACATTAATTGCTCTTTGAAGTTTCTGGCTTAGATGCCTTGAGGTAGAACTTCTACTATTTTTCATTAAATCAGGAGGAATCCAGTACTACCTTTTCTGAGTAACAAATTTTATTAAAATGCATAAGTCTTTGTGAACTGCAGCTCACACGCTAGAGACACCATGGGCAAATATTCATCTGTTTTCAAGAAAAACCTATAGGCAACAAACTGGGAAAAAAATCCCAATAGATGCTTGTTGAAGCCCACCAAAATTTTTTAACAAAATTGAATATATTTAAGACTCAGCAGGATTCCTTCCAACATTTATTCTAATTAGCATTCTGGGGAGATATTGGAGTTTGATGTCTGTGAGTAGCATGTGGCTCTTTACTATCTTATTAATTTTAGGATATATAAAAAGCTTTCATTGATGAACAAAAAAAATCAGTAGGCTTATTTTTAAAAATTTCTTGTTGAGAAACATGATGAACAAAGCCTGCAAGCAACTACTTTTTTTTTTTTATGGAGCTCTGTCCTTCAAACTTTAACTAACGTATTAATTAACTTGTATATTACTTTTTGTTTGGGAGTAGGATATAGAGATACCTGATTGCAGTGTTTAAGCAGCTCTAGCTATAATCTCCATTGGTAGTCAAACTTCAGTGGATAGAATCTATAGTTGTGAGCTTCTGATTGATTCAGTGACCTGCTAGACTTACAGGCGAAATATATTTTAAAATGGTGTAATGCAGCAGCACTTTTTTTTTTTTAAGATAGTCTCTCTGTTGAGTCATTTACAGATCTTCCTAAACCTCAAGGCTCCAGTACTGCCCCTGCATATGTCATAAGATTGACATGGGAAGTTATATTTCAGCAACTGGACACTGATCGTAATGGAGGAAAAAACCTGAGAACATGACCTTGTCTGACTTACACAATAGTTTCTGAACTGACTTACAGAATAATAGAAGTAGTTGAGCTGGCTGAAATTATTTCATTTATTTATTTTTGTTCGGCTCTGGTCCACTGATATGAATTGTAGTGCTACACTGAGTTACAATATATAAGTAATAGAAATATGACAACTCCTCAGCATTCAGTTCCACCCAAAGTATTGGTTGGTATTTGACCACTTACTTGTTATCTGTACATTCCACAAGATTATGTTGAAGTACATGCCTCTTGCAGTTCAGGTTGTGTGCAAAAGCTACTTTATAGCAGAAATCATAGGAACACTTAGTTGGAGGAATCCTCATTAGACAGAGACTTATCTCAGAGTAAATATGCATTTAAAATCTAGGGTGTTTTCAAGAATTTGAACTGTTGTTTATTATTTAAGCTGACCAGAGGAAAAATGTGTCAAACATTTGTAGAAACCTTTACACTGATTAGTTGATGAAAACTCTGTGACATAACATGTTTCAGATTTCTACATACATGGCTGGCTGGGGAATTCTTATTGATCTACTATTATTGCTCCTGCTCCTCTTCTTCCTCTTACAACATTACTGGCAAAAGAACAAGCTACTTTTTTAGTTTTGTACCTTATCTAAATTGCTGTTGGCAGGTGCCTTAACATGGCATAAACAGGCAACCCTTTCTGTGTTTGGATTATAATACTGATAGGACAGCATCTTACACACAATTTGCAATATTATTATAACTGGCAAGGGAGCGATTATCAAACATTATTACCATAATATTTGACAAACTGTTATTAAAAGGATAGCTATAAATGTTGGGCCCAAAATTTACAATCTTAAAGAGGGAGAACCTTGTAAATGATAAACATTGGGAACTGAATTCCTTATGTACTATAGATAAGAAGCAGATGTTTCCATAAAATGATTGATGTATAATAATTTTCTTCTGTGTTTCATTATCCAGGGAAGAATCTCAAGATTTGTTGATGGATTTCATATGGAATATCATTTAATGTGCTGAGATAAATAGAAGAACAGGCCACGCACCTTTCTGCTGCTTTTTAAAATTCAGGTTCAAATACTAAGGTAGATCATTGCTCCAATCAGTTACACAATTAAATCACTTTAAATAAATCAGAGAACTGATTTTTGATATGTGTTTGGTTGCCTCTAGTGAACTAATTATGACTTTTTTTTTTACAGCTAGCTATTCTAAAATTAAACCATTTGATTTAGATGTATTCTGTACATCTAGTAGAAGAATTGGAGGTTGAAGAATACTGAAACCATCAACAGCCTGAAAAAATTCATTTCCTTATTTAATCTTGAGAGAAACCACTGACATATAAGTAAATAGCAGAAAGAAATATGCTGTCCTGGTATATAGTAATAGTGCTGAGTCCCAAAGGATAAGAAACTTACCTGTGAATGTGTAAGGCAGCACAGGTATGTGATTGCAGTATTCTGGGATGTTTTGTAGAGATAAATACCAGCTCCTTCAAGCTTTTTAGCCCTAAATTATAGTAATTGCTTTCTGTCCCCATCCTGATCTTTTGGTTAGAGAAAATATGATGACACTGGTTGTTATTGGATTAGAAAGGAGAAATCTGGATATAGAGTTGATTCCATGAAATCCAAGATTTCTCAGTTACATTCTAGTTTCATAGTTCTGAGCATCTCATTTCTCAGCAGCGGTCATGCAGTAGAGCAGTAAAATACATACTGATGAGTAGCTGAAAAACAAAAGTATTGAAACTATGGATATGACAGTTCAGTCATCTTTATTGGTTTAGGGTCATGCTACCTTTGAAAGTTTTCCACCCATAGGTTCTGTATATTACCATTGGAGCTGGACAAGGTGAATACAGGCATGTGGGTTTAAAAAGGAATTGTTTCTTGTAACTCTCTAGGTGTGCATTCTGAAGATTACTTCATGCTGATGAATTATGCTTTAGCTTCCTTTAATCATATTGCCATACTAAGACTAGGCAATGGGATGGGGGGCTTTACAAAGATGAGATCTTACAGCCTAGAGATTTATGTTGGAGCAAACCCACTGACCTTGATGGGGCTTACTTTTCAACTGCTGTTTCATAACCGAGGTATCAGATTAGTTCTCTCTAATGGTATGCCAGCTTTGTGTTTGAAGTAGGGTCTCTTGAATTCAAGAGGCTTATCTTGTGGCAGTACCTATCTAATCTTGGTTGATCTCAAAACCTAAACAGTATAGGCCTTAGATGACAGTTTGTTGAGGGAATTCTGGGGCTGTTGACTAGACTGGGAAGTTGAAAAACTTCCTGGAAGAAAGTAATAATAAAACTGATTTTTGCTCTAAAAAAACTACATGGATGCAATCACCGAGAGTCAAGGGCCTCTTTGCTTTTTACTTACTGAATTCAGCAAGAATTATTCTTGGAGTCAGAATTACGGAGGCTTTAAGGTGCAAACATATTAAGGAAAAATAAAAAAATCCAGGAAAAAAAATATTCCCAGTTACTGTTTTCTCTGCAGTGGAGCAACTGGGCAACTCTCAGAACTAGGGAACTCTCAGAAGAAGAATCTGTTACTGAATATTTTCCCTTTTTGAATGAGTGAACCGTTTTTTAAAAACAAGGTTTTACTTAAAATGCTGAATGAAAAATGTTATGTAAGACAGTCTGAGCATTCTAGTACAATATTGAAGTTCAGTGTTATAGTCACATTGTAATATTTAGCAATTTTTAATGTATGAGTTTGTACTATTAAAGTTGTGTTTTCTAGTCAAAACTTCTTCCAGATGGCAAAAATTAAAACACATATGCCGAGGTTGCATACTTACAGGTCTCTTTCTATGTATTACATAAATGCATGATTTATGTTTGCAACTCTTTGCAAGACTCTCTAAATATTGCATAAATGTATGATTTTGTATATGAATTAAAGCATCTGTAGCTAGAGACTGAAGTCCTTCTCACAGTTACCTAGAAGTAACTCGAGTAAACAGAATGAATCTTAATTCTGACTAAAGCCATCTTGGGAAGATATAATGCATGCTAAGCATAAATAAAATTGCTAAGAAAAATTCTTAACAAACTTTGTGCCTCATTTTGAGGCCTTTTTCGGGAGGAAAGGTAAATAACTTAAGTATGCCAAGTAGTACAGTTTCATATGGTGTGAATGAATGATTAAACATCTTTATTGTGGTCAAAAACCAGTGCATAATAAAACTCAATAATGTGGAATATCTTACATATGTATGGAAAGGTACAAATCATAAAATTAACTGGACATATCAGTCAATTGACTGCACATTTTATACATAATGTAAAAGAATTTAGCTACACTTAACGTGATCGGGTCATTATACAGTGGTACCTTGGTTCACGAACGCTTCTGTTCACGAACAATTTGGTTCACGAACAGCTCCGTTTGCAAAATTTTGCCTCCGTTCGCGAACGCCGGATCAGGTTACGAACAGAATGGCCATTTTCCCTCCCGTAACACGTGGTCGCGGCTTCCTGTAGGGAGGGGGACTCTCCCTC